GGTAATTTAAAGTGGAATTTGTGGATGAAAATGATATGGAATGTTACGTTGCATCAGGTTTGTTTTGCCGTATGCAATGCTACTGTGGATTCATCCGGATGGAACCGGTAAACTGACGTAACGTGTAAACGCTTAACGTTGGATAGATTGACGTTGAAATTTTATTTAACTGAAAATGAAACAGGGATGGTACCCGCTTGTTTTTAGTGCATCTAGTTTTGGGGGTTTCTGTATCCAAACAAAGTGATACATATAATTAGTAAGATTCTGTTTCTTTCATTATGTTTGTTGCTTTCGGGAAATGGTATTTCTTACGAAGAACTATAGGGTAGGTGTTCCAGTAATAGTATATTATATTTAGTTGCGGTCTGGGGGTTGTGCCGGAATAGTGAGGAAACCCCGGATAAGATTATTTTTCATCGGTAGCTCTCTTAAAATAAAGCATATTAGCATATTTCAAACATAAAACTAAGGTTGGAGTTATTACATTCTCTGCATATTCATACAACAAATTTAATGAGAGTGCTTGCAATAGACTGCAGCGTACAAGCAAGTTTTTCCAGAATTCATATTTTTGTATAAAATCTTCACGAAATGATTTTCTAGACGCATTTGGGGAAACAAACATTGTTCGAAAAATAAGCTAACATCTGGCAACCACATTACAGAATCTGTTCATCTCACAAAACATTGCCAATTTTGCATACTTTTCATGCAAATGTGTAGTAGATCATACATTTCTCGGTTGGATTAGCCTAAAAATGACGGAAATAAATTATTTTTTATTAATACTGACGAATATGGGCGTCTTAGTGGAATACCTGTATAAAGAGAGAAAGCGAAGGATTAGTAATTTCCATTTAATTCCACTACCTTTTTTGCTTATCCTTGACAGATACGTGTATTTCGTCTACTATGTGCAGACTTCTTCAGTGTCTTGTACTAATACTCGACTAGACTAGACTCAGAGTCGAGTATTAGTACAAGACACTGAAGAAGTCTGCATATTGTAGACGAAATACGCGTATCTGTCAAGGATAAGCAAATAAGATAGTGGAATTAAATGGAAATTAGTAATCCTTCTCTCTGTCTCTCTCTCTCTTTATAATTTTTATTAAAATTTTCACTCCTTTGCACCTATAGTTGCGGTAGTGTTGCTATAATAGTGGAATCCATAAGAAACAAATGCATTCCTCTATTATAGTAACCAAAGTTAGCAACTACCACAGCTATTGGGACAAAGTTCCTATTAATGGAGGACAAGTTTTCTAAAATTGTCTGGCTTTGACAGTTCGTTTGGCTCAACACTAGCCCGTACTGCTCCTCTCTTAAACTAGACCCTCTCTACGATAAACCAAGCTGCTTTTTGCAGAATCGACCTTTTTCATTTTTTTCCCATAATATTTATTTGGTAGGTTCAATGTCTCTTGAAGCGTAGCCGAGGGACTATTTTTTTTCTCTGGTTTTTTTTTTAATTGTTGCTGTTCTAAGCACTTGCAGCAGCTATACTAGCGTACGCACTGATTTGTTCTTTCTTTTCTTCCTGTACTTCCTATAGTTTTCCCTTGGTTTTTTGCGCGCCTTCCGCTCGGGACAGGCATTCATCCAGTGACCCTCCGCTTTACATAGGAAGCATTTATTTGAATAGAATATATTCCCCTTCCGACTGAGGAAACTAAGCGAAGAGGGAATCTTTTTTTCCACATTCATGTATATACCTCGCACCCCTGAATGCATGTCGAAGCTCAGCTCTGGTGGAAAATTTTCCCGGATGACACGCTTCACGTGGCAAATCGTACACATAAACGTATTGCACCTTGCCCCTCGTGACATTCGTACTTCTACTAACGGGTGTTCAATAAAAAATGAGAATTTTTTCAGTCATATAGCTAGCAAACAAACATTTGTTTTTCAACGAATTCAGTATTTTTTTTATTAAAAACATAATGTTTATTCTTTAAAAAAAAACATCAATGAATATTGGAGAAGGAGCCTTGGTCAGCCATACGACGCAACTTAGTCGCGATGCTTTCACAAAAGCGCTGGACGGCACTGAAATCATTCTCATTTTTTATTGAAGACCCGTTACCTTTCCATCAGCATAATGGAAAGTTCAGGTTTAACGTTTAAAAACGGCACAAAAGGTCAACCCAAGAAATCACATTACAATTACAGTCATTTGTCAAATTACAATTACATTGCTGCTAAGGGTACTAGATTTGCTTTTGATCAGAGGTTCGGCTCTGGTTGGAAACGATTTAGGTAATATTTGTTAGTCATTAAAAAAAAATTGCATTTTAGTATTAGTAACGTGAATAGTAAATTAGACATGTTATGGTATGTACTTGCACAAAGTTGTTGTTATGTTGAATATTGTTGAATGCAGTTTAAAATAGGAGATTTGGGAGAAATATAATAATTTGGTGACCATGTAATCTACACACACATACACACAGTGAAACATACTTCCACGGATACTTATAACAATACATACACATTGAGAAAACGCTCATTACAATTTCACTGACATACGTAAAGGCATCGACAAAGACGATGACACTGACTGATTCTGATTGTCAAAAAAATTCAAGGATATTATGTTAGCTCGATCGACCGGTGTTTTTATTTGGTCACTTTAGACCAATCCGTCCGGCATAGTAACTAGAAAAAATTCAAGACCAACCCCAATCATTCTAATCCTATGGGTATAAAAAATTAGTTCTCTATACTGCCGGTGGAAGCATAACTGTACCATGTTACAAAACAAAACAAAATGAGAAAACTGCAGTTAAAGTTTGAACAGACGTTTTGCTGCTATCGTAAACTTTCACGGAACAATTTGGTTCTACTTCGAAAAACTGACGTAATATAACTTTTCCATAGAAAGTTGGTCAAAATTTTGCAAAAAAAATAATTTTTTCCATTAAAAAATCTTCTGTGACACACAATCTTCACTTTTTCAGAGTAGGGTTAACTACCCCATTTCCGGCCTATTAAGCACAACCCGCACTTAGTCTTTCTTAATCTAGCGCAGTTCAGCAAAAAACGGAATTATTACTGATGGCTTACAAATTTATTTACCTTTCCGTACGTACCGTAATATTTGATAATGAGAAACCAATCGTTGAGATATTGTCAAAAGTCTAACACTGCTTCTTGACGCCAAACTCGGCCTAAGGATTCTAAACTCGGCCTAACGCATTTTTGTTTCAACACATCATCCTTCTGATAAACAGTACGGAAATTCAAACTGAGCAAATACTGTTCGAGTTTTTTGAATCAGGCCATACTTTTATGGCCGCTCATTCATTTCACGCAGCGGTTGAAAAAAAAAAATGCGTCTCGAACGTGTCGTTCCAAGCCAAGTTTAATGTCTCACAGTACACGTTGAACTTATTCAAGCCATCGTGGACATCATGAGAAAATTGGTTTTTCAAAAAGGAAGTTATGAGCAAGCAACATCAACAGTGAGGACCTTAAATATTACAAACTGTTTTCCAAGAAACAACTCCAGCTGATCGAAAAGGATACGTTCTCTACTGAAGCTAACGTACTCTGGCAAAGGTCTCCTTGTGGAATTGAAGTAGATACAAAAGCCTCCCTTAGCTCAGTCGGTAAAGGCACAGCTACAAAGCAAGACCATGCTGGAGGTGGCTGGGTTCAATTCCCGGTCCGGTCTAGGAATTTTTCGGGTTGGAAAATTTCTCGACTTCCCTGGGCATAGAAGTATGATTGGACTTGCCACACAATTATACCAATGCAAAAATGGTACAGGCATCGAAAGCTCTCAATTAATAACTGTGGAAGTGCATCTAGAACACTAAGTTGAGAGCACGCAATAAGCTAATATTCGATATGCAATAAGCTTGAAATGCGAAGAAGAAGAAGACGACGAAAGCCCCTCTGTTGGCAGTTGTCGTACCTGTTATTGGAGAAGACGAAACATCATTTTTAGTTGGTCTTCCGACCAAGCAACATGCATCGGAATGATAGTTACCGTTGTATGCATTTCTTTTATTTTTAAAATAAATCTCATCATTTTACTCCAAACACCAAATAATCATATGTGTCACAAAAAGGTACAAATAGGGTAAGGTGTTGCAAGTTGATTAATACATTTTTTAATTTATTTGTTTGTAAATAGTAACAGAACTGAGAATGATAGCTCAAATTTTCCTTAAAAAAGTGTTAGTGTGCTTACGACGTTATCGAGGTATCATCCAATTAATTGAAAGATTAATTTTTCGATTTGGGCAATCGTTTGGAGCTTGTAATATGTTTACGATGTATTATTTGGATAACAGCCTATAATTTTTGAATAATTTCTTATACGTATTAAAAGTTGGAGCAGTGGGACAGATATGCGTCCATTTTTGCAATGGGACAAAACGACTTCACATTTTTTTTTAAATTTTTCTAGAATAAACAGCATGTTTGTATATAATATTTCAAAAATATGTATTGATTTATCCCGTTAAGCATCATAATCCCAAAAAAGTCGAAATGTCACATGGGATAGTCATGCTTCCACCGGCAGTATAGGAATCGATTGTAAAACATGCATTTTACTATGCGCACAAAAAGTAGTTACTTGTCAGAAAAAATAAAATTCATCCAAATCTCAAATCAGGTTCCCCCATCCGTAAAATCCCATAAATGAAATGATTTTCAACAGCGTATTTCTCGACTTGTTTTTTTTATAGAGGACTATTATGTGTTTATAGGCAGTATGTATTTGTTTGTTTGTTTACTATCCAGTAGAGTACGGCATTACTACATCCGACGTACAAGTACAAATTTCAATGTATATCTATGATAAACCGAATACACCCTATTCTTGAACACCATTCAGTGCACAACATTGATTAACTGCGCAAATTCAGAGAAGATTTACAAGTATCATCTGAAAACAATAGCAATGACGAAATAACAAATATTTTTATTTATAATATTTAATAAAGTTTTGAGATTAAAAAAAAAATGTTTTCTTATCTTTCCAGACTGTGCTCCCTGACGATAACGCGCCTCTCATTGCTCACACCACTGCCGCCCGATCTCACATCACTGTCGCTAGCGGTGAAAATGCAGAGTTCCAAACGAACGCTTCGTTCACATGAGATTCCAGTACCACAATCATTGAGCACTGGCTACGGAAGCACTATCAGTAGCGGAAATATGGGTGGAAGTGTACCGGGTGTGATAGGCCAAGGGGGCCAGCTCAATTCACCACCTCTGCTGGAAACAGAACTTGATCTCCATTTTAGCCTGCAATATCCTCACTTTATTAAGCGTGATGGCAACAGATTGTTGATTCTGTTGCAACGACGAAAGAAGTATAAAACTCGTACTATATTAGGTTATAAAACGCTGGCCGAAGGTGTGATCCGAATGGATGCTGTCCTACAGAAGTCAATGGACATGACGGTAGAACTGAATGGATCCGGTAAGGCAGGTCGCCAGGGGCTTACGATAGCTACTCTACGTGCCACACAAGTCTCTTCCATTCCAGTGGATCAAGACAATAAGAATAATAACAGTCTGCTAGTAACAGACCGCGTAAATGAGTATTCCGATGAAGACGAAGAGCAGGAATTTAGTTCCGGAGATGATAACGATGATGGTTTATCCGGGTATGCAGCGAAAAGGAATTATGCTGGAAAGCGAGACCAGTATAAAAAATTTGATCGAGGAGATAATGATGGCGAAGGGGATGATGGAAACTTGTTGCCCTCGAATCAGGTGGACAGTGATAGCGATTTCGAAAATCTAGGCGGAAAAGATAAAGGATCTCGAGCTAAAATGAGTCGGGTAACATACACTTCTATAAAATTGACCGACAGTATTGATAATAAATTTTTACCTTCACAGCAACGCAATTTCAAACAACGTATCATATCACTGTTGAAGCGATTCAAAGTTCCTGACGAACTGGAAGGAGATGTACAGGAACGAGGTCAATCGTTGAGGGGAAAACGAGATTTGGATGCCCTGTTCCAAGAGCTAGAATCTTTGTCCTGTGGCGAGGGCGATGATTCCGGTCAGGATATGGACAGTGTATCAATCGGCTCTACACCAAAGCCATCTTTAAGGCCATTTTTCGAAAATCCAAAACCTACTTTGCAACATCAGCAGTCAGCAGCTCAGCTGAGTTCTCTACAGAAAAGCACTAGAGGTAACTAGCGGTTGATCAAATTCGAACGCATTTGTTTTTCGCTAATATCGATCATTGAATTGTTGGTTAGATAGAATTATTTTTTCGTTGCAGAGTGCAAAACAAACTCTTTGAGTGTCAATTAAAGTGTCTGTCTGTGTGAGGTTAACTTACACGGACTAAAAGCATGATTTTGTAATTCTGTTGGTGTGTAAGGAAAGCAATCAAAGTCTAGTTTGTGACGTCGAAGTGAAAACTTCACAAAAATATGTGTTGTTCTTTTCATTCATTGTACAAATCTATGCCAACATTCCAATAGGGCGAAAGCAATGACTTTAATCACCGATTTCTCGCAATTTAAATTCACTCCTGCTAGCAAACTATACCGTGACCTGTCCTAATTCTGCACAGCATCTAATACCGTGAGTTGTCAATAAACTTGAATATTTTGCGATGTAGAGGAAATGGCTCTAATGTTGACCTATGGATCTAATATTGGACCCATCGCTAAAAAGCTGCTATTTATCAATTTTATCTAGATGAACGCGTCATAGGGACGGTACTATGAGATATTTTTGGTCACTATTGAAAATTTAGTCGATTGCTGAATTTATGTATGGGCCCAAATTAGGGGCATTTAGGCCGATATTACATCCATTTCCCCTATATTGACATTAAAAAAAAATAGCGTAAACTTAAGCATATCGAGTCATCTTTACTAATCCATAACAAATTTGACAACTGGTTACACCCACGTACAAAACAAAATATTTATAAAATAAAACCCACGGATTTAGAGCACCGCCGTACATTTAAATTCCTAAAACCGTGGCTTGATTGCAGCAGCAAAATGGATTAATAAAATGAATGTTTTACATTTTGAATCAATTGAACGAAGTTCTGGCATCGGTAGAAACAAATGATCTATTCATTTCTTTAATAAAAAAAAAATAACATAAATCACTGCAAATTCATTTTTCGTAAACTGATTTAATCTTGAAACGTTCTTAACCCCACGGTAATAGGGTATGTCGCGGTACTGGTAGAGGAAACATTCCTCTTCTAATTAATTTGCATGTGCGAGCTTTTATTCACGTGAGAAATCGACGGCTAAAGTTATATTCTACAAAAACAGTTTCACCCTTTTGAAATGTTGATGAAGAAATTAACTTTATCCAAAATAACACCGAAGAAAGAGGGCTCATATTTTCGGTTTTTGTTTATTATCCTTCTTACAAAGAACAGTATAGATTAGATTAGATTAGAATTATTATTAGATTAGAAAACCGACTTTTGATCCAAGTATCATATACCATTCGACTCAGCTCCACGAGATCAGAGCACTTCTGTTTGTTTTTTTTTATGGTATGGGTGAACTTTTAAAAAGCCGTAGGGTATTGCTTTCGTGTGCTTAAATGCAGCAATCCTGCCTGCACATATATGCATACAGGACGGGACGGGACTACACCAAATAAATTACTTCAGGAGGGCTGTGCTTATGCACCACTCTTTAGCTCAGCTAGCCGGCGTTGCGCCTGGTTTTCTTCAATTGCGGATCAGCACTCACTTTCCGGAGGAAATCTTCGTACGTCGTTCCGCCCTTACTTCGCTCCCGACGACGGTTATTCTTGGATTTCTTCTGCCCCCAGCGTGGATTTTGGGGTCCCTTCGGCGTCTCCTGTGCTTCAGCTGTTGCCTTCCCCTTGGCAGTTTTAGCAGTCTCAACTCTCGTCATCAGCGTATTCTGTTCCCGTTCGGCAGATTTGATACCCATCACTAATACCTTATGATCAAGGACATTGTGGATTGTGGACATTGTTCTTATCCTTCATGAACTAGTATAGTACGATGACCTTCGTCATGTTGGTCCTCCCAGGCTGCAGTCCTTCTTGGGGTGTGCTACTGCTGGATTTCGGTGTGAACATCTGGCTCAGCACAAGACCTAGCTCTCCTTGAGGCTTACTACTGCTGGAACTCACTGTGGCCACCACTTTCAACACTGGTGTTCTGTGTAACATCCCACTCCTTGTGAACACGTCCGTTCTTTCGTTTTCACTGTCTGGTGTCTTGCCGTTCTCTGAGACCGCTATCTCCACTTGTTATATGTAGTCGCCTATCGTGATCCCATGGTTATCTATGTAAGTAGGGAGGCCACGCTAGGGTTAACACGGTGCTTTATGGGGGCCATGTTCAGAGCCAGGTTGGTGTAAGTCAGGAATGTACGTCTGAACCTACTACCCAACTTTGTGTCACCTTTTTACTTAGGGAGCGTATACGTCCTGTCATCCCTGTAGCATGGTATCCGATTCATTGTGCCGTGTCCATTATTTCATGTCGTGTTCAGTTTGCCGTAATTAGGCGTTGATGTTAATGTACCGGTTGGTACTCCTGCGAGTTAACGAAGCATTTCCTCTATCGCCGTGCTATGGTTACCGCGCCTGTGTTCGCGTCGCACTCTCTCACTTTGCTATTGTCGGAAGCACAACATTGCCCAGGCTATACCGGGGGAAGGTGTGAGGTAGGAACTTAGGAACTTAGCTTGATCGGAACGGCGGAATGACATAACATAAATTTACATGTATCATCCTCCGCGTGTGTTACAAACATTCTTTGAAACAATTTTATCGTTTCCTTCCACCGTTCCGATCAAGCTATGTTGCAGACAGAGTTTGTCATGATAATCGTCGCAAGATTTGTGTCTATATTGTTGCTTGCTCTCTGTGGTTTGATTCCCTGTCTTCCTCTCGCCTTAGCGTTTCGTCTTGTTGGTTCATTCGCGAAGGCGAACACGTTCTGTTATGCTGAAAATGATGTTTTGTTATCATTCACAAAATGTAACGGTTTAGTAAAACAATTTTAAATGTGCATACGATTATACGATTTTATAAAATTGATTATCTGTTCCATGAACAGGTTGAACGTGCAGTTTATAACAACATACGAAATAAAATGTCGTTGGCATTAACTCTAGGTATTCGTAAGCATTTTCAATTATCAAGAATCGCCTTACATAATTTGAATGAATTAATCGCCTTACATTATTTTTATACAGTGCCTTATTATTTTGTTACATAGATCAATGAATCATTCACAGGTCACGCATTTACCTTTTCAACATGCCGTTCTAAGAAAAGCTCAAACTAATACAATATGCATTCTTCGTATATGGATGGAGTGCCACAGTTGGAAAATGGTGAGCGAGTATATCAATAGTAGAAGCAAATTGTTTGCTGCTAGATTTGGTATCCGTATATTTATTTCGTATTGGGTGTACTAGAAATTATAAGCACAGTTTCAACACGCCGCCATTTCTATCCCGATGACGTTTTGTAGCTGATCGTCGAAGTGTGTTGTTGTTTACTTATTGGTCAACAATTACTATGTGTGCCGAAAGGTCTTTTTTTCCCAATCAAAGCGCCAAATGGTGCACTATTTCCAATCTGCCATTTAGGAATTTGAAGAAAACTGGAGAAAGTAAGTATCGGAGCAGTCTGACCTGCTATTTGGAAGTGTGGTGAAGAGTGTACATTGCAGGACACACTGAAATCTGGTTGTTAACCTAGTTGGATGCGCAGCCAAGCTTAACCTGGACCGGATGCGCACCGAAGCTTTCGCCAATAAGAAGGCTGTCTCTATTCGAGGTTTGACTAAAAACTGGGTACATTGACGAGTAACGTTCAACGTGCCAAGCCCCTAAAAATGACCTAAAGACGTTCAAAACGCAGAAGAAACCAAAACAAAGTCAAAACAGGCCATATCCGAAAAACATAAGTAATATGGAGCATTTCCAGGTCGAATAGCAAAAAAAAATAACTTCTGACTCGACCGATTTACATTTACGAAACTTCGCATAATTGTTTGTTATGGTCAATCATTGACATTTGAGTAAAAATTCGAACGTTTTGAATCGTGCAAAATAAAAATCAAAATTGTGTAGTCGATACTTTTCAATAAATCATAACATCACTTCCAATTAATTATATGATTTGAGTAGTAGCTATACTGAAAATCCGAGAGATGTCGTCCCTTCAATGGTAGGATAATCATTTTTGCTGTATGGAGAATATCAGAAAACCACGATTTGTGACTAAACATGCTTTCACAGAAAGAAACAAATAAACGAGTGTTTACCTTATCACCATAGTAATGTACTCGTGCAATTTTTGTGCATCTAAAACTGCCCATAAAGACAATAATGAATAAAAACTGAAAATTTTCATGCATTTCCAAATGGTTTCCTCCCATTCCTATACATTCGAAAGTGACTGGCCCTTTGGATGTGGATGATGTCAAAAACAACATCACATGATTAATTGAAATGATGTCTGAGATACTGTTTTGGATTTCTTTTCCTCAAAATGGCTTAATTTTTTTTTTTACCATTATTATTATTAGGAATTAGTATATCCTAAAAATTTGTCTCAGACGTCATTTCGATTTTTTTTTCTTGATTTGTTTTCCGTCGATCTTGTTTTCCGTGCTGAGCACCAATGCTACCGACGACAGGAAGGCAGTTTCCACACCTAGACCTTACCTATCGACCCATCAACTCATGAACCGGGGACCAACGACTTTACTTCCCGTGATCAGAAGGCGTGATCAGAGATGTTATGCCTCAGAACATCCCTGTGGCGCCAACTGGGATTGAAGCCAGGTTTTTTGGGATGAGATACAATCACGCTTACTACTACACCACTGTCATTTCGATTGAAAGTGACGTTTTAGAGTTATGATTTGTGAAAAAAAAAACGAATACGCTATTTTAAATTTGTTTGCAAGATTCAAAATGGCAGAATTGACCATAACACAATTATGCAAAATTTCATGCAAATCGGAGAAGATCGCGTCAGTTCGATTTGTCATTTGGCGATATAACGTTGGGTGGAAAATCCGCAAGTGTATCCGAACTATCGAAATCTTTTGAGGCCTGGTTAATGAATATCTACAAAACACTTGTTCATCTCAGCAAATTCAATCGAAATTATATTGTACACATATGGTCCAACCATAAAAATAGAACCTGTACTGAAGCAGTTCAAATAATAAGTCTGGTCCTTGGCGTACGATTAACGGAATCGCGGATTTTTTCATCTAATTCTAATTACTTTGTGGCACACCCTATATTATGCTTTTAAGAGGATTTCTAAGTAAAGTATCGAACATTATGATAGATATAGATATAAATCGGTTAGCTAACTCATTGGTAAATCGCAGGTTTTCCGTTTTTGTCAACTACAACTCGCAGCAGTTTTCACTTTGTAACTCCATTGAACATCATTCCATGAGTCGATGTTGTTTAATTTGTCAATGTCGACCAATAAATTATTCTTCTAGAAGGTGTTTTCATAGATTTATTGTTCCACATCTCGATGTTTCTATGTCGGTAGTCTATTCGATTTCGATTCATGAAGTTTTCACTGTTTAGTCCTTGGTCATTCTAGAAGTTGAAACGGATTGGATTGTTATTAATGTTCTATAAGCCTCCCTATATTTAGTATTTAAATTTACAAACGATCATTTGCATCATAAGATGTTCGTTACATACCGTATAGATTATAATTCTGCACAGCGCCTAATTCCGCGTTTTTTGCAGTAAGGGCTTCTGGGGTAAAATGCACCCCGAGGCATTTTTTTCCTTGATTTGTTTTCCGTACTGAGAACCAATGCTACCGCCGCCAGGAAGGCAGCTCCCACACCTGGACACCTAACCTATCGGCCCATCAACTTATGCACCAGAGATTTTATGCCTCAGAAAATCACGGCGGTGCCGACTGGAATTGAACCCGGGTCCTTTGGAATGAGAGGCAGTCACGCTTACCACTACACCATCGGCGCCGCTTCTCGATGTAATATAAAAAGCATTTAAAATATAGTTGAAGATGCTAATTTCAAATAACAGACTGTAGTGGTAATTTTTATACGATAGATGGAGTAGATGAAAGCATAGAGTTGATAGTTCCGGTAGAGTACGGCAGTGTGAAGATTGCATATAGGGTTACGGTATGTAATGTGGGTCTAGTCCTTTCATTCGGCCTATCACGCAAATAAATAATTAATTAAGGAATATTACACAAAAAATAAGGAAAATATTGATCACTGATGGTTGATAAATGTGTACCACACACAAATCAATTTATATCACAACATTTCAATACATTTTCAGCTCTCGTAAGTAATAAAACTGGTTGAGAATATCACAATGTTCGGAGTTTTTAGCCGCCATGACTTATAAGGTTAAGATGGGAAGGTTTTTTTTTTTTTTGTTTATTAATTTATTTGATAAGGCTCAACCGAATTAACTTAACAGAGCCGAGGATTCTTGGTCACTATACAATACATCTTAAATATATAGTCAAAAGGTACAACACAATAAACACTTTATCTTCCGCTATCCAAAAAGCCTCCTCCATCAGAACTGGAGCCGCTTCCAGTAGTTTCATTGTATGGCAAATTGTTGTACGCCAACGAGGGTCAGAGCGCGTCCATTGCAGCAATGGACGCAAAACGTGGTCAGCACTCACACACTCATCACGAAACGGTTGCTTTCCAAAGTCGACGACGCATCGACCGAAAGAACTGCTGATGAAGAACAATGAGGAGGACCACACAATGGTTGCTGCCGAGAAAACAGACGATCGCGTAGCACACATCGAGAGTGGTCTGCTTTTGTCGACAGCCGAGTGAACACTGAAGATGGGAAGGTTGACTGACGATCATCAAATGGCCTGATTATGGCATTTATTGATTGGAATTACCTGATAATACACACTAGACGTAAAACTTACAGTTGCTGTTTGAATATTTTATGTTTATTTTAATTGTTTAACAACGTTTTCACAAGTAAAACATGGACCCAACTTTAGGGACACATTTCTTTTCTATGTTCCTAACTATGGCCCATGAAATTCATTTGACAGCATATAGCAATAAGAGTAACGTCAACAATGTTGTTTTGCATTTGGATGATAAGGAACGAACAGGAAGGGAGATTTTTTCTGCCAAACCTGTATAATGAACATCACAATGTTCTGATTTAGATATTCTGCGGTCAAAAGACGATAAGCGAAATTTTTAATTTTTAATTTTTAAATTGAGTGATTTAATGTAGTTTTCGTAAAATTTTCTCTAAGAAATGTTTTGAGGAATGAAGAGCATTAAGTTAACAGTGATAGTGATAAAAAAAAATACATCAGAAAACGTTACCAAGAGCGTTTTTTTGAGGATCAAACAAGATAGGACGAAGTTGCATCCATAAATAGACCCAATTTGGGGACAATAGACCCATATTACATACATTTCCCTCGTGAGTTATTGTCTTAAAAAAAGTAAGTTTTTCAACTTTTCGTGGTTTCTGATAGCAAACGACATGATAAGCATATCTAAGCATACCATTTAGCAGTAGAATATCGTTTGCAGGTAAATTCATTGATGAGTTATGATTAAAAACGTAATCGATGGCTGCATATTAGACCGAGGTTAGGGACGTATACCCTAGATATTAGAATAGCGAGCTAGGACAACTTTCATCACACCACCCCTCACCATCCCTCTCCAAATGGGGAGTTTGGTAAAGAGAGATGAAAAAACCGATTTGTACCTTCCTTAAAAGTTGTCCTAGCTCGCTATCTACTCTCTATATGCAATTTTCACAATGCCGTAATCTAAACGGAACTATCAATTCTATACTTTCATCTACTCCATCTATCGTATAAAAATAACCACTACAGTCTGTTATTTGAAATTAGCATCTTCAACTATGTAAATCGTTGACTTCACGTAGAAGTAATACTAAAACATATAGTCAAAGTATTTAAAATATGTTTTTACTACTTTTTCGAGAATCTGTGAATCAGCATTGTTAGTTAAGTGTCTCAACTAGCAATGCTGCTAGATCCGCGGAAATGTTTTGTAAATGTATTTAAAATCGGCAGAAAGTCATTGGTGCGAAGGGGTGCATTTTCTCCATGCCCCCTTAATATATTGCGATTTTAGCTGAATTTATATATGTTTCCAATACAGCAGTGTATACGTTAAATATGTTCAACGCAATCAATGTTATACCTATAAAATGTATAATTATTTTGGAAATTTATGGCGCAGTATTATGGCATTTTACGGTATAAAATTATCCTGGATTCGGCCACGTTTGGGATCCTTGTTAAGTGCAGTTCTTTCGGTCGATGGGTCGTCGACTTTGAAAATCAACCGTTTCGTGATAAGTGTGTGAGTGAAGACCACGATTTGCGTCCATTTTTGCAGTAGACGTGCTATGCCTCCCTTTGGCGATGTTACCATACCTTGAAACCACGGGAAGTGAATCCCGTTCTGATGGACAAAGCTTTTTAGAAAGCTGAAGATAAAATGTGTTTTGTATTATACCTAATGACCATAGCTTTAGGATGTATTGTATAGTGAACAAAAAATCTCGGCACTGTAAAGTTTATTCGATTGTGCCTAATAAAATAAAGTAATTATAAAAAAATACCTAAGTATCTCACTTGACTTTAATTTTTTTATGAAAATTAACATGCGCTGCTATTATATCGAACAGCACTGTATATTAGCAAATCCACGACAACAGGTAAAATTTGAAATTCGTTTATTTTTTTTCACTATTTTGCGTGGATTTATACATATGATTGAAATACTACCCATAATCGCGTAAATATTTAATATGCATCGGAAGTCTAGCAGTGATATGGGTGTAATGAGCGATTATGAATAGAATAGTAGGGAACGGTATGGCAAGATGGGTCAGTTCTTCTTCTTTTTCTAGGTTTTTACGCTTCTGTAGCGAGCGTTTTTCCGGCTCTCAACTTAATGTTCTACATGCACAAACCAGTTTCAATTCAAAATATTTTCAGTATAAAAAGACTTTTTCAAAATCATTTAAAACTCATAAAACTGCCATTTTTTTAACATGGATATATATAAATCTGATCAGAAATGACGAGTGTTATGTTAGTTTTAGCATTTTGCAGTATGAGACGTTGGGTGTTTGAGAGTTAATTGAGAGTTTTCTATTCCAACCATTGCATGAATGTGTCTAATGTGTGGAAAGCACAACGATACTACTCAAGGAATTCGAGAATATTAATAAATAATTGGTAATATACTTGCTAGTACATTTATTAATTTATTTGTTTGTCAATATGAACAGGTTCACCGCAACCTCAATAATGGTAATAAATTTTTATACCAGCATTGGTGTTACAATGAGCCTGATTTTTGTTAATACCGTGCATGTTGTAGTTGCTACTCCGTTACTGATCAGAACCAGTGAAATTGCACAGAGAACCACATAGATGGAGCTTGAGATTAGATTTCAATATACATGTTCACTGATTCATTCTATTTATACCGTTGGAGGATAGTTGTGTTAGTGGGACGGGTTATTTCTAGATCAGATTCACTGTGGTAAGTGATGCAATCAGTGAAAGCAGCAAACTGTTATTTTTTTTTTAATCTAGTAGGGATAGCATAAGATATAGTGAAAAATTGCAAGGAAAGGGGACTGGCCTGCGATTGAAGTCCCGACCATCTGGGGGCTACATTCAGCCTGTTTGTTGACCTATCTTGCCCTACTTAACATTAAGTAATTATTGCAATCATCAGGAAAGAATGAAAAAAAGGTTTGGCAAAAACGGAAAAATCGCCACAAATCTTAATACATATAATCAAAAATTGCAACCAAGCTAATGATATTATACTTTGTTGAACGTGAAACTACATTTATATACATAGATAATGTTGCATGGCTTGTTATGTTTGTTTCCTCTTCATTTTCTTTCGTTTTTACAGATTATATGCCAGAAAAGAAAACCATTTTAGAGAAGCGTGACTCACTCGCCGAAAAGAAAAGCAATTCCGTAACAGTTGCCAATAATCTAAATAACAGTATGAACATCAACAATATCAGTAATAACAATCATACTAGCAATTACAGTAACAGTTTGAGTAACAACCAAGGTTTGTAGCTTCATTTTTACAACATTTTTTTTTATAATTTCTGTCACTGTCTACTGTTTCCTTAACTTCGACTTAGTATGTTTTCCTCTGGATCATGTACCCACCTATCATTAAATAGATAGTCTGTGATATTTTCTTCTTGTTTCGATCTGTAGCTTCCTCTTCCATCGTTAAATACCCCAACATTTCAATTCAATTCATGATTGATTTCTTTACAAAAAAAACAAATCATTTATCTCATTTTACCATCAGACCGCTCTGGCGACTGGAAAAACGACAGTTCCGGTAATGAAGGTGGTGCCGGAAATACTGATCCGGAAGCACTGTCATCGGATCCCCAGAACACCGGTAGTCCACCGAAGGAGAAGGAGCCAACAACTGTGGAGAAGAAAAATCGTCTATTTCGCACCAGTAGTAGCACTCCCAACAGTGCCAAAAAGCAGAAGCAGTCTCTTAGCTTTTCATCCGGTGATCAACCGAAAACATCTCTCGAAACCTGTCTTTCGCCAACGAATGTAGAACCCCGCAAGTCACTCCTGGAACAACTATCACGTATTTTCACTACCGAGGAATCGCAACTGCCAGATGTGGTTACAATCATTGGACCACCGGAAGCCAGCAGCAGTTCCTCGCTTACACCACGACTAGTGTCACTCATATCATCCACCTTTCGACCGACATTCTCTCCAAACAACACGGCTGAGGTGAAAGCAATCACACAAGCACTGATGAACAAAATTCAGAAATAGTAAGATTGATTGCCGCATTTTTCAAGTGGTAGGTAGACTGATGAATTTATGTATTTTTTTGCAGCTGCAACTCGACAGCTAAACCACCAACAACTGTGAAAGTACTGTTGGTAGGTGGTGACTGGCTGCAGGGTGCCGTGCTGCGTCATTATGTTGAGCTTTTGGGAATTCGTCCCCCGGATTGGGTAAACCATATCAGATTCTATATTGTCCCTATAGGTAAGGATTTTTATATATATTCATTTCATAGTACAATAAAAAATAACTCGTTAAGTGCAGACAGAGACCGTTAAAGTTAATTTCACTTTATTTGATATTTAATTGACAGCACGTAGATTCTATATTGAAGCGGTTTGTTTTCGGAGTAGCACTAACGTGATGATTTTTTTTTTGAGTGTAGTGGTTTAAAATATTGTTATATTTCATACATTTCATCCTAACAAACTTATCTATTTATTTCAAACAATTATTTCCAGGTTCTTGCGGAGTAGCACGGTATCTTAGTGTGATTGACTCAAGCTATTCGAATATGTTTGGAACGGAAAACTGGCAACAGATCTGTGACCGAGCAGCGAACCTAGAGAGCGCACAATCGAAAATCGAATCAGCCGAGATAATTAGCCGAATACAGCGATACTTGCATTCTAGTGGACCCTGTACACAAGTTCCTATCGCAGAAGCAATGGTTAACTATCGGGACGAGGATTCATGCCAAATATTTGTTCCGTTCATAAGTGTATGTACAATTTGTGATTCTTGCCCAACAAAATTGCATTACTGTATCATGCTTTAATCTATAGGATGTCAGGATAGGATGCCTGGAGGCACCACAACTTTCGTTAGATTTGGAAGAAACCATGACACTTAGTTCACAGCCAAGCTCGGATCGAGTGCTATCAAGCTCACCGCCACAAAGTGGACGAGCCTCACCTCCAGCACCACTTACACCAGCTTCAATTGTGCAGCATCAATCGAGTAGTAGTGGTGGTCCACAGGAATCTTTGGAACTACAGGTGGATTACTGGCCACTGGGTCGACCTATTTTGGATGCAAAGGATAAATCTTTAAGCAAGGGTCAAGATCCATCAGGCAAAAACAGTATTAAGAGCACCTTCAGACATTTGCAGGTATTGATATATTTTAAAGTTGGGGCAAACTGAACAATGCATTGGTTGTTATTTTTAGATTTCAAGAGGATAATATTGATTGTTTTTTTTCAGGTTTGGAGATTGCCACTTGCTCCTATAAATGGCGAGTATACGAACGGCTTAACACTGAGCTATGCTACCAAGGAGAAGAAGCAAAAGAGCGGTAAATGCTCAAAAATAAATCGAGTTGGATATCTTTAGTAAACTAATTACTTTCTAGTTATGCGACTTGGCAAGAAAAAAGAAAAAGATCGCGATGCTGAAAAAGAACAGTGTGTCGAAGGCGTCGCTAGGCTAATCTGTTCGCCGAAACAGTCCCATCCAGTTCCTTTGCGAGGTAAAGACCATTTCAAGCCCTCATGGATTATTATTAAGTTCATATTTTTTTCAGTGTACATCGACGGCACCGAGTGGACCGGGGTAAAGTTCTTCCAGCTTTCATCCCAATGGCAGACACATATCAAAAATTTCCCAATCGCTTTGGTCGGAGCTCCGTTGGCTCCGGCCGAAATGTTAACCTAGTCAGCTTCATCATCCACTGCAATGAAGGTTGTAGCTAGATCTACCACGATGGCACCAGGTCCCGCCGTTGTGACAGCTCTATCACCACCAGCGTCGCAGGGATTATCATCCACTACCGTATCGCAATCTTCGACTATTGGTAAGTCTGGTAAAATTCGCTGCTCCTCTACTACGTTCGCCATCACGGGGGCTGCTAATAATAGTAATAATGTTAGTAATACTGGTAGCAAAATGTCTGTCACTTCTCGGGCTTCTCTAAGCAGTTCCTCCCGAATTTTGAGACCCCGCAGTTGGGCTGCGGCTAGCCGATCTCGCTGCGACTAAATAGAATTGTTTAGTGCAAGCACTACTACTTAGTATCAACAAAATTGAATGTTTTGTGTAACGTTACGCTACCGTAAGGCTGTTTAGTAGAAAAAATTTGAAGTCAATTTACAATGGGTACGCTCAAAAATGTGCGACTACTTTAGAATGGCGCCTAGCTAGCGAGCAACGTTATGTATTTTGTTTCCTACCTACTTTGGCTTGTAATTTGGTTGTTTCAGAAAGGGTAATACAAGCATTTATTTCGCCATTATAATAGTTTTCAATTGAAATATAATTGTTTGATCAGCTTTACGCTTGTTGTCTATTATACATTGGTAGTTTATTTATTAAAATTCCAAAATGTCAACGTTTTCAAAGCATGTTTTGGTCATGACTATAGTATATCTGATGCTACTATAATAAAAAAAAATAGTTGAATCACCGTGATACAAGTTACTCAAATTCGGGAACAAACGGGAATATCAATATTATATGCAGTATTTTTCCTCTGTATTGTTATTTATTTTTATGCACTATTTTAACCTATTAAAGCAGGTTTACAGAGCTTGGTGCTCAACGAAAATGAAATTATTCTGAGCTCGTATGGTGGATCATATCTGTTATTGAACCTTAACCACCCTAACATCATAACATACTGCCTGGTTTAAGTTAGGGAGGTAAATTTATAAAAATGATTACAAAAGTGCCCGACACCAAACCCCTTTTTTTTAATTTTGCACAACTAGGGGTGCTCTCGCAATTCATTGGATGATTACACAAGTCGCGTTAATTCCATATTTTTTTAAAATTTCTATAATTTTGTATTATTTTTTATGGAAATTTCTCTGGACATGTAATTTTCTCCTGATTTTACAAAACGAATCTAAGAGACGTGTTACAGGTGAAAGTCACCTTAAGTTTAACGCAAAAACGAAGCGTTGATTTTTAGCAGTGTGGAAACAGTTTCATTTACATTTTTTCCCTGTTATTTTTTTCGTAATGCTATGTATCTATGATGAGATATGAATATTCCTCTGACTTCATATTACCACAATTCGATTGCACCATTGGACAGATATGCGACAACCAGCATTGAACAGAAGTGATAAAAGAAAAACCTTTACTGCCCATAATCAAGTCAGTCCCATCTGTAAAAAACTATAATAGGAAAGCCATCATGACCAAAACTGCCTTGCATGCTGAACAGCGTCATCATTTACCCTTTCTGGAATACTCGCCTAAAAGTTTGTTAGACATTCGCATATTGATACGAGCGTGGCTGAGATTGTTTCGATTTGTGAGAACATAAATTCTTTCAATTGTGATATAAATAAAAACAAGTAGAGAAAGTGAGACATTAGATTCATGGCCTCAGCTGCTAATCTTTCAACATTGTGAAAGCTAGTCTCTCATATTTAGCAAGTGTTACGAAAATTAAACGAATACTAAACAGAAATCAATTTGACTGATAGTGTTTTGAGCACGCACTGGAAGGTTAGCTAAGCCTACTTGAAAACAATAAATAAATAATGACATAGAAGTATTTAACCATTGTGAATTCGCCAGGGTATTAACCTGGGAGGGAGATCCAGACTCGAATATGTCACGATCTGTCATCGGCCATGCCAAACAGTTTGGTAATGCTTTCCCTACAAGAATATAGATAGCGGTATTGATATCTTGCGTTATTCAATGGAACATCGTTTTTTAGTTTAATTCATTGAACAAATCATATGAAAGATACCATTTATCGATGTTTTTGTCAATATCTTTGGTGGCATAATAAAATGCAAATCAGAAAAGTCAAACAATCACTAACGCGTAAAGAAAATCAACAAAGGCTAGCTATGAAATGAGTTTCGTATGTGCTATCTGTGTCTCCCTCCCAGGTATTAACTATTCGTGTTGTATTGCAGGAAAATGAAGTTAATGTTGTTCCCACAAATGTGTATATACTTATCATATCCTGTTTCTACCTTACCAGTGCTCCTGATCTATCAATCATGCAATTAACGCTAGGAATAATTCCTAGCGGAATACTTATCCATTGTTCAACAAAGCATCACAGCATTAGTTACATAATCAATACTGGTATAAAATACAAGCAATGAGTCAATTGTTTTTCTCCTTGCAAGAAAATGTAACTAATACACACATCTAACGAGTACTACTACACTGCTGTGTCCTCTAGCCCATATAATATCTTACATGTAGGAACGATTCGTATGCTCATTATCTAAGGCAATTGATAGAATTACATGAAAATCATTTCAAATCGCCATAAATAGTAGTATTAAGATTCATCAAAAGCATACACAACACAGTAAACGAAAGCATGTTTAGACATATGATGTAGGTTACTATGAAGTCGTCAAACAGCAATGCATATAAAAATATGGATATAGAAAATAAATGTGATTTTTTTGTTATTTACAAAACAAGTAAGCAATCAATTTACTTCGAGTAGGAATGAAAGAACAGTAGGGGGAAGGGGCATAATTAATACCTTAAGAAATGTTCACATTTTCAGGTAACTTAATGTAATAAAATTTGAAATTATTGGCTTCTATACTTCAATATAATCCTTTTCGTTTATGACCTGATGATTACAATTGTGAAATTAGTTGATTTGGACCTTAAAAGATGCAGTTTTGGTTGTCTAGGGTAGCATATTTTAGAGTTACGGGACGAGTTAAGCATCCCTAGGGAGCATAATGAGCATATCTATAAAAACGGGTAGTGAAGGTATTTTTTAATATTAAAGTGCTCTTATGATTAGAAAACAATTAATTGCCCTATATGGAAGGAAGCATCGTTTTATTTTTCACTACAAAAAAGATAAAGATTTAATACTTATGAATTTCATGACGGGCAAGCAATACCACTACATTAATCGAAGAAACACTGGTTACAGTAACCCTTTCCACCATTGGAGTAGCTTGGAACAACTGCCGCAGGTCCACAACAACTGTTTGCAAGGTGGATCTTGCTACAAATGTTCGCTATTTTCACCTCGTCATTATAAGCTCATTCCACCCCGTCTAAAAAAAATATATTCTTAAATCATTGTAATTAAAAATATTTAAAATATGAAATCCGAAGAACTTCGAGATTAGGGCGTAATTGCTTTTGTAAACAAACACTTCATTTGACGATTTCTCGCGAATCTCATTAATCTCAGAACTAACAACACAATGAGGTAGAGGAATGGCTCTTCTATCATTAAGTATAGATTGTTCACGAAGTTGTCCTTTAATTCGCCAGAAATCGGCGATTGACGTGTTTGTTTACAAAAGCAATTACGCCCAAATCCCAAAGTTCGCCGGATATACTGTTCGCCGCAGGTTTGCTGATCCGATGTCTGAAAAATAGCTAAATATTTTTTACCATAAACTAAATCCTACCAAACAATTATCAGCACAAATCGTTAAAGCATGATTTAGTAGTGGTGAAATATTATAATATTTCGTAGCCACACGAAGAACTGAAAATAATTAAAGTTAACAACTGACGAATTGATTTTAATTTTTCCTCTCCGAATTCCATGACACTTCGCATAATTATTCACTAGAAGCTAGTTTTTTTTTAATGGCGTATTCGATATTTTACAATAAATCATATTACGAAAACGGCTCATCCATTGTAGGAAACTGGATTGCCTGTCTTTTAAAAAAATACCGTATGGTGCCCGTTCACCGCTTTACCTCCATTCACTGCTCATTTTGTCAAAATTTGTTGAAAAAGTTCCCATGATAAGCCGTTGAAAAAGTTCCCATGATAACCGATTTATTCACTCGTTTAAGATGCTTGCTGATCATATTTAGCCATCGGCACTTTTATTTCACTGTTTATAGTATAAAAAGTTGGAGGGTGGTGTACATGACACAACCGCATTTTTGACGTAGGACTACGAAATTTTTGTTCGATTTTCTAGTTTGTTGCTTCGGATATTGTTTTGGAATTAAGAGAATTTCATAACTCAACTCTTTTGTAGAAAGTTGTGGTGGCCCTGAAAAGTGCCGATTGTTTTTGGGTGGTTTTGTATAACCAGTTGATGGTTGATGAAGTGCCTTCCGAGATTGATGTTGTCCTCGGAGTGTTAGGCCTTGGGCAATATGGAGGCCCTGCAATACGGTCGAGAACATGACACGATGTTGGATTAATGATTCACCTTAGGCATGGTGGATGGCATCGATGATACAGCAGTAAATAATCAAGATGCTCTTTGATTATGATGTCTGTGTTTGGGAAACAATCAAAAAATGAAATTTTGATTGCCTTTCTTTTTGAACACGCCGGTAAAGTACACAGACTCCTCCCATCATGAGTAGTTTGCTATCAATTAGTGACACTGGCTCCTCTCCTTTTGTACTCACTGTAATCTGTAGTTATTTACGGTTCGGACGTTTTCGAAGATGTCGCGCAGCAGGAAAATGCATACGATGAGAATTTCTCAGTTGATGAAAGTGAAACGGAAAAAAAATTAATGCACCGATAAGACATATGAACATAATTTATTTCCCGAACAAATTATTTGATTTTTGAATCATTTTGATGTATTTAGTGACAATTGGGTTCTTAAATTTTGAAAAATTTATCGGTTTTTATGTATCATCTGAAAAAGCTCCGTTTTCTGAGCACAGCAATATTTGTTCGAACCCCCACACTTTCATCTCGATTTTTAAATCAAGATTTAAAGCAAAATAATAACTTCACTGTTTGAAACTGACAGCTCGCTCCCATACAAAGTGACACCGAGGGGCGCTAATAAGGTGATTTTTGCAAATGTAATCGTTCTTATTTAAAATAGTTACAGTGTACCAAAATTGATGAAATGATGATTTTAATGCAGATTACGAATATGAATTTCCTCAATACCCTTAAAGAACCCAATTGAATGGGTGAATTATGGGTTACGCTATATATATTATATTCTAACTCTTTACTGAAATGAACTTGGTGGCCCTGAAAAGGGCCGTTTTGTTACGTTGGTGATAAGTTTTAACCTCCGAAACCGTTGATGACATCCATGGCCGGTTTTGCGCTTGGCGTGTTTAGTGTAGGTGACGCATCACTTGGTAGCCCTGAAAATGCATTGGTGATAAGTTTTCACCTCCGAAACCGTACAGAAAACGTCCCTGTCGCTTCAGAGCATAGACGACATCCATCGCCGTGACGGTTTTGTGCTTGGCGTGTTCAGTATAGGTGACGGCATCACGCATATTTTCAGCACATTTCGGGTTTCCTCGAAGATCAGCCGGAGACGCTTGACATAACTACGTCGAGCCAGACGACGAATGGCGACCTTCCGATGACGCTTGGTGCCTCCTTTACCGAGCAGTTAACACTTGTTTCTCGTTGAACGGGTGAATCGAAACTGAGCCTAAAGCACAGATAGCAACCTGTTATATAGACAACCAGCTCTGCCGGTACCATATTTTCTCGCTTCCAATTGGCTATATAATAATGCTTTTGTCATTATAAAGTCAATAGTTTCGCTATGCTTATTATAAGTTGCCATAATCTGATTGAAAGGTCCGAATTTGGCACAGTTTTTTTTTTACGATTATAGCTTGTAATAAAAATATTTAGATTTCGTAGTTGCCTGGGGGTTGTACAAATTAAATCCAAATTTGACATAGTTTGTACGAGTGTAGCTTATAATAAAAATATTTCGATGTCGTAGTTGCAACCATCCGGGAAAAATTAAATTTGTGTGTTATTGAATCAATGCGATGCGAAACGATATCATTTACAAATGCTAATTCGCGGCGCTCTTTTAATGTTTGGAATCACAAAAAACTGTCTACGTAGTTGATGAAAAAGCCCCTATATTGTTCTCTACTCTTGAATTGTAATTCTCATATGCTGACGATATTTTTGCCTCAAGTGCTCTGCAAATTTCAACGTATTTTTCTAAATTTTGTGAAGTTTTAAACTTTTTATACGAGTTGTGTGCTTTTTGCTTCCTGTTTTTAATATTTCTGATTTCTTGTGTATACCACACAGGATATTTGGTGCTGTTCACTATTCTCTTTAGTCTTTTAGGAACGAATACTTCAATGATATTGTATAAGTTAGCATAAAATATGTCAACAGCCTTGTCCATGTCGTTTTCATCTTTTAAAAGGTTTTGTCAATTTATGTTATTCAGTCTGCTGGAAATTCAGGAACAATTGCATTTTTAAAATCATAATGGTGACCGATGCGAGTCTGTAAACACTGAGTATTCAATAGCCGTATGGAATTTTTCATTCTTCCATAATGGAACTGCTGCATCTACAATACAAACATCTTCTGTACAATTAGTAAACATAAAATCCAAATAGGAATTGAGCTGGTTACGAACATGGTTAATTTGATGAAGTCCTAAGTGGCTGCTTTTTTTTTAAAGATGAATTGCAAAGTATCGTTTTCACCTACAATTGGTAACAGCAGAGAATCATTATCACTATCCTGTATAAAATTAACAGTATTGTGGTTAAAATCTCCATAAATATGAATTTTGGTTCTTGGATCTTCTCTTTGAGAAGCTGGTTTTTTTGGAAAAGTGTGGAGGAAAGTAGACAGAAGCGAAAAGATGTTCTTCACCGTTTATTAAAATTTTAACCCACACATCTTCAAATTCTTTATGTTTTTCACTAGCAATTTGTTCAGCTTGAAATGTAACATTCACAGCAAAAAGTACACCACCACCTGATTTTTTACCTGATAATGATAAATCGCGGTCACATCGAAACACACTAAATTTACTATCAAATACATCTTCGCAATTAATACTGTCAGACCAACTAGTTTCTGTTCCAATTATTATATCATATATGCAGCCGCTTATTTTATTTTGAATATCATTTATTTCATACGCACTACGCGTACGGTTAAAAATTTGGCAAAAGACTGTAGTTTCACTTAAAAAAAGAGCTACTAAACTAGCGACATGGTCACTTACGTCGTGCTGGTCAGGGGGTGAAGTTGCTGCATACTGTCCGAAATCCCTCAAGTTATGTGAGATGCCATGATCCTCGAGCTCAGCTGTGTTGTCATATTCTACCTCAGGTGAGTGCGTCAGTTGCGCCGAAAACACGCATGTCTACATGTGCACGAGGTAGAGGAAGAATTCCCCGGAGCCATGCCATGTGAATTCGGAAGACCGCTTCCTGGGTTATAAACCCGTACCCTTTCCCTTTTTTCAAACTGCATCGTAGGTTGATAATTAACCGGTGGTCTGTTGAAGACATTTTTTGCTGCTGAAAG